CCCTGATCTCCCTTCCTTCCGCCGCGCCCTCAAGACATGGCTATTCCAACAAGCGGGACTGGCCTAGGGTAATTTTTAAGAGGGGTTTTTAGAGGGGTTTTTAATCATATTTTAATCAGACAATTTAAATATTTCATTTTAATTAATTTTAATTTGTGATTGTTATTGGTGTTTTTAATTGATTGTCAGCCGCCCTGAGCCCGCAAGGAGAAGGGCGGGATATAAATTCGAATAATAAATAAATAAATAAAATAAATTTACAATAGGAAGTAAAAGCTAACTCATAAGGGTGTTTTTATTATGTGTGTCTGTGGTCTTTTGAAGCATGGGACAGATCTGTTAATTTTTTTTCTCTTCTGATTTAGGATGCCTCTAAAAATACTTGATTTCATGGAACTTCAAGAGTATTGAAGTTGAGCTGATGGTGTATATGTCCAAAGAAAATTGCAAACCTTTGAATAATACCTGTTCACTCCAAGCTGTGAGCTAAGTGTCAGGATTCCTAGGTGCCTCTAACTTCACTTGCTGGAGCTTACAGCCATGTGCCTTCCAAAATAACAAGTCTTTCTCTTTCATAAGGACATTTCTGTCTGTCCATATGTTGATGCACTGGATGATATTTGTAGTGTTGCCTCTCTTTGAAGAGGTTATTATGTAGTATTATTGTTGTTACCAACTGTTCACTATTTTGACTACTGTTGGAGACTTGGTTTGCATCCTCTGTCTATGCTCATGTTTACTGGTGAAGCTTGTTTTTAGCAGGGCTGTGTCTTTTTTTTAATAATCTGGCAGTTCCCATTAGCATCCACCATCGTTAATTTTTATTTGCAGCTACGTTCCCCTTGTGACCTTTGGAAATGGCAGTTCTGTGGGAGATAGTTAAATGTAATACTCCTCTTCCAATCCTGGAAGATCAGAATTGGAAAAGGAGTCTTACATTTAACTGTCTCCCACAGGTTGCTGGGGCCACTCTCACACCAATTTTTCAATCCCTGAGCTATCTTCTCCACAAAAACG